TTGCTCAATGAACGACTGACTTAGTCGGATAAATGTAGTATCAGCTTGCCATAACGGCTTTCATTCCTTAAAGCAAGGTGAAGGCCTGACTTGCACTGAACTCAAACCAGTAAAAAAACAGGTTTAGTCTGAGTTGTCTGGACAGTAGAAGGAACTGACCTCAGGGGTAACGCAAACTAGATGAAACTTGCTTGGAATAGGTAATGCAACAGTATTGATATCATATTCACTTTTGTTTTTGTCAAAAGCTTGGAAATCACTCTGTGTTCTGTGAAGGTGAATGCACAGATGGATTTGAACAGGCTGCTCAGCTCGCTGTAACATAAGTAGACGTGATGATCACTTTCAGGTTTCAAGTCATGCAACGTGATTTTCACTTGGCACTGAAATAAAGGGGAACCAACAGCTGCTGATAAATAGGAAAAAAACATATTCAGTTTTCAAAACCCTGTATTCTTCTGTAGAAAATGTTCTGTATTAATATACAGTCTGTAGTCAGTGGGCTTAAAATGAAAAACACCCATATTCTTTATGCTTGCGCTCCCTTGAACTCCGGACATGGCTTTGTTTAGAGAACTCAGTGAATGAAGGTGCTGTAGAAATTAGACTTTTAGAAGACAATGCAGAGATCCACTGGTCTTAAAAAGTTGAACCTACAGTCTTCAGAACAGAAAATAATTTCTGCTATGAAGAGTCTTAAATATCTGTCTGTTCATAACTTAACATCAACCCTCTTTCACACATGAAATTGAGTTTACTCATCACAAGGAGTAAAACAGCTGTATAATGTCTGGCTCTGGGAAAGTCTGAGAAAATGACTCTAGGATCCGGTGTTCATTGGGGGTAGACTCATGTAGACATAAAGAGTTAAGATATCTTTGACTTTGCATCTTCAATTTCGTTCAGTTTCCCACAATTTCATGGAATTCACCAACCAAGTTACTGGAGGATTCCTTTATCAAGACCTTTTTTCTCTCTCTTTTTAGCCAAGTACAGTTTTGTTCAGATATTTGTCAAAATATTACCATTTGTATTAATTCTGTTTATTTTTCCATTTCAAGTGATTCTAAACAATATTTTATATAGTAAAGAATATTTGAATCAAGTTGAAATGTCGTACAGTATGTTTTTGGCTCAATGTCATCTAGTAACTTTTTGAGCTTCTTTCCATTGAAAGTAGTTGTTTACAGCTTTTCCACAACAGTTTTCAACTATGTCCTCAGTTTCGCACATTGACCATACACAGTTCAGCCATTCACTAGGCTTTGACCTCGTCTTGTTAGATGAGACATGCTCCTTTTATACCTTTTTTTTATTCATAAATATTGCACAGTCTGAACAGTAAAAACCTCACTGCTGCTTTCAGCCAATCCATTGATCATCTTAAGTCTCTCCTCTTGTGTTGCTTTTATTTCAAAATAGGAGCCCAAGGTAAGCTAAAGTGGTGACACCTGAGTTTGGCAATCCAGTTCACCGCCCACACCTGAAGGAAAGGGTTAGCTGGATTAGGACTTAAACTATTTGAATCTGTTCACCACATATTAGTCTAACAGAATTTGGTGACATGAGGAGCATCACTGACTTGATCTGTTGTCTGCCATGTGTGGTTACATGGCATGACAAGGCATGTATACAAACTGTATCCTTGGCTGGGTTCACCAGAGGGGTGTTGTCTCTCCTCCTGTGTTGTGTAATAATGTCTGTCAGTGGAGTCGCTATATGGCACAATTACAGTCTTATCCTCTGATTTGGCGTTGTTCAGTTACTGTTGTGGTGGTGGGGGGCACGGGGTTCAGTTGATGTCCTCTCATTGCCCTCATCCCTCCCCTGCTAGCCCCACCCGTCCTGGGAATAGATGAAAGAATAACAGCACCCATCATAAACAAAGGCTGCATTTGTAGTGCTTCTGATGGCCGGCTTTCTCTGTTCTTTTGCATTGATATGCATGCTTTTGTGACTAGCTGTTGTGTTTTGTTGTGAAATTGGGTGTGTGTATCTGTGTTATCAGGACTTTGGCTCAAGTTTATTTTGTTTTTCATACGAAAGCACTTCTAGCAAATGCATTTTTAGATGTTTTGTCATTCTACTGAGCTTTACTAGAAATGTTCATGATTTGTTTTTCCTGTGACATGATTTCTGTAAAATAAAGAAATGATTGTAATTCTGTTATTTCACTCAAGTCATTTTCCCACAGTCCTATGAGTACTGAGTGTTTTGATTCTTGTCTTTCCCTCTCTCAGATGGGCCCTGTGGTATTTCAAAAATGACAAGAGCAAAAGCTGGACAGAGAACCTGCGTCTCATTTCCAAGTTTGACACAGTGGAAGACTTTTGGGCGTAAGTTTTCTCTAATAATCTGTAGTGTTGTTATGGTTTTCTCGCTTTATGGAGGTATAAGTGGACTGTACTGTTTGTAAAAGTAATTGGCTTTCATTCAATGACACATCTGGAGACAAGAAGGGATTTCTTAAACAAAACACTTTAGTATGCAGATTTAAATAAATTATTCTCTCATTAAATTATATCTAACACTGACAGAGGCATAGATCACTGAAATAGTGATGTGAAGCTACAGTACATTAAAATAACATTGGGGCAACGCTTCTTTGTTCATGCGTTAATTTTCCTCTGGACCAAGGAAAATGTATGTGCATAAGCAATATATGGTATTGTCCTCTCGACAGGACAGAAGGTTCAGATTTCTGAGATAGGGTTGGGCTGATTTTCGACAATATCAGATATTGCAGTATTTCTTGCCTTGTACTGCCCTGTACCTTGGCATGTGGCAGCATCACTTCTACCTGAAACAAAATGCAATAATATAATTATATGTTATAAAAAAAACATACCTGAAATATAAAGTACAACAATATAAATATATTATATGGTCATTCTGCTATGGTTAATCTCACCCGTAGCAGATGAAGCTTATCACTGAAGTCATAATTTTGGTTATTCTGTGTTTCTTACAGATTATACAACCACATACAGCAACCAAGCAAACTTGGCTTTGGCTGTGATTATTGCTTATTTAAGGTAAGACTTTTTTTTTTTTTAGGAAAATACAAACTATTGGGATGTTTGCATGTAAAATTAGACTCATTTGAGCAGCAGTTAAATGTCTCAGTGCTAATCCATAGTAGTGCTACAAAACCATTTTGTAACTGTTTCACTTTGTGTGCTAGGATGGGATTAAGCCTATGTGGGAGGACGACAGGAACAAGCTGGGGGGTCGATGGCTGATGACTCTCAATAAACAACAGAGACACAATGACCTTGACCGTTACTGGATGGAGACAGTAAGACCAGTTTTCATTGAGCAAGTAAACCAAGTGAACCATCATAGTCATGTGCTTCTCCAACCAAATGATGGTTGAGTCATGAATGAAAAAAGGAACAGTGTCATTCATGTAGTGTGTGACATTCTGTATTCTTCAGCTCTTGTGTTTAGTCGGTGAGTCATTTGATGAGGCAAGTGAAGATGTGTGTGGAGCTGTGGTCAACGTCAGACCCAAGGGTGACAAAATAGCCATCTGGACGAGCAACTGCCAAAACAGGGACGCCATCATGACGATAGGGTAAGTAGTAATGTCACCTTGTTAATAGGAAAAAAATGATACTAGATACTGCAGCTGGACACTAGATGGTGACACTATATTAGCATTAGTCTTCACACAGCATTCAACTTCCATCTTGTTTCCACAGGCAACTTTATAAAGAGCGCCTGAACCTCCCCATCAAAGCAATGATTGGCTACCAGTCACATGACGACACGTCCAGCAAGAGCGGATCCACCACCAAGAACATGTACTCCGTTTGAACCCCCCCACCATTTCACCTTGCTGTAGATTTAAACAATTACCAACCCGCATCATCACATTAATAATTTTTTTGAGTTGTCAACTACTGTAGTGTCCTTTCCTTTTACCTGAAAAGACAATTGTTCATAGTGTGTACAGTTGGAGCTTCCCCCAACATGAGAAATCAGTGGAGCTATAGCTATAAATAGGAGGAGGCCAAAAAGGAGAGGAGCATTAGGATGAAATGTCATACGTGAGCAAGAGAACACAAATGATTTCATTTTTAGAGTTGAAGAGTTCTGTGATAATACCAGTGACCTCCCCTAGCTTAGCTGAGAACAAGCTTTTTTCAGTACCTAATGGCTTTGAGTTGCAAAAAAAACACCATTTCTTAATGATAAGGCCTTGTTTTTCTCATGCTGAGTTCTCACTCCTTAAAAAAAGTGTTTCTCACCTCACAGGAAAAGATAGTAGGCAACTTATCCTTTCACAGAACAAATTTTAAGGGCAATTTTAACCTGATTTATCCAGAAGTGTTAAGCATGAGTTGGACTTTCAGACACAGCAGTTTGAAGAATCTACAGTATCTTAAAGGTTTGTAAAAGCTGTGGTCACACTCCAAAGTGTAGGGTTTGGATGTAAGGCCACTAATTGTTTCAGCCATGCTGGAATTATGAAATATTGCTTGTAGTACTTTTTGAACTTTTTTTCCTCTTCCCCTTACATTTATTTATAATGTATGCATTGCAGTTGAACTACTTAGTTGAAACACAACCATGAAATTCGTGTTTATCAAATTGTTTTTTTTTTCTCTCTTTTTTGTTATAAGGTTAATAATGTGGACTACTACATATAGATGACATTTTTTACAGTGTACCATACAGTAAAGATGCTGACAGACTTAGGTGTGCTTTTCACTGTTTTCTTCCTAACAAAAACTGTAGATACTGTCGCACTCCTCTCTCGGTTGATGCGAAGGAAAGATGATATTCATTGTGAAATGACTTTGGTCATAATGTATCTTTATTATCTGTAATTCCAGGATGTATATTACCTTCTTTCAAGTAAAGGTTAAGTGCTTTGCATTAAAACCAGAACTATGTTGCCTTGATTTGTGAGAATTTATGATTTTGGTGTCTCAGGTATAGCACCGAATCGTGAAAATATAAGACGTAAACCTGCACTAGCTGAATTTTGATTTTGTTTTTGTTTTTTTGGCCACTTGAAGGCAGATGTATATCACCTTTAAAGGTGATGCAGTGGAACTTGTTGGTAAATGGTCTATGTATACATCCAGTAGCATTACTACTCATCTGGAGCCATGTTTCTCTCTACCTGGTGAATCTAAGTCTAATATTAACTCTCTTTTAGCTCTAACTTTGGTGGTGAGAGGAACAAGGACAAGACCATAAATACAGAAATATCCCAAGAGACATAACCAAACCTGCTGAAAATAATGTATTCATGTTGGACTCTGTCGCTGAAGAAAGTGAGACAAAATATACTTTCACAGCCTTTAAGCTGTTTTACGAAAGTGAACACCAAAATGTGCTCAGTAGAGTGCAGTCCTCTGCCAAGACTGTCAAACAACACACACTAGACTTCAGACAAAGAATTTCAGGTATCTTCACACTAGTTTGACGCTCAAATACACTTAAACAGATTAATAGACCACACCTAAGACCATTGTAATGGAAAGGATACAGACGACACCCACTGTTCTGTGCCTAACCAACATTGGACTTATAAATACTTGTGCATTTTAAGCTGTTGAGGTGTTGGTCGTCTTGTTTTCAGTATGCACTGTGACAAAACTGTCGAACTAATTTTCTCTTACTCATCCAGTCAAACAGGATCTTGTGGTGTCACAGGAACTTAAAATAAATGACTAGGTGTTTAGAAATGTTCTCCACTCTTCTGATAGAGCTCCACAGCCAAGTCTGTGTATCACAGGACTTGTCAGCTTGTGTAATGGTCATGATTTTATTAAAGTGCCAAGGCTAGATATAAGTGCTTAGATCCATTAAAGAACCTTAATGTTAAGAGATGATAAGAGACAAGTTGGGACATTTTCACGACTTTTGGTCCATACTAGCATACCTGATGAGAAATTCTTAGTTCATTGCTGATTTTGCCAATGTCCAACAAGAAGTTATTGCACAAAAAAAAAACGGATAAACATACTGTCAATGAGGTGTATCAGAGTATGACGCCCCAGGTTAATTGTTCTGTGGCAGAGTATCAACGTCACTTGTAGTAAAGTACAGTATAGCTGATATGTTTTGTTCATTTGCTGTACAACCTGGTTTGTTTCAATAAATACAGGAAGTTTTACCAAAGGAACAGAAATGCCCATTAAAGGAAATCACAAATGTAGGCAACAGTATCGAGAGGGAGGATAAGTGGTCATAATCCATAAATTGCTATACAGTAAATCCATCTCAGCTGAGTGATTGAAAAAAAAAAAAATTATTGTTCCTCCAGCCACGGCCCAGCCACTGTCTTTACAGATTTATTAGTAAGTCCATCCTCACTTTCTCTGTGTGTCAGCTGGACCCTGGCAGCCTCATATCAGGACATTGTCAACATCAAAGGCTTTTCTTCCTCTCGTTTGTTCAACAGATTTGAAATCATGAAGGATGAGAAGAAGTAAAACTCCACGGCGTAGCTGAGCTCAAACAACTCCAAGTTGACACTGAGCATCCACTCAAATATAGCAGACAGGTGAAGGTAAAAGTACTCCTTTTGGGCAAACAAAATAGTATCTGAAGGTTTTCAAGATAAGGACGTATGGAACCAGTTAGTGGAGGTCAGGTGTGTCACTGGTGAATGATCGCCCATAAAAACATTTCATTCAAAATTGCTATCAAACAGATTAAAGATCACATCAAAACTGTTGAGCACGTTGGTCTGCAGGCTAAGCACTTGTATGACGACATATCAGACAAATACACTTTCATTGTATGTCCAGAGGTGCTAAGTCAAAGGCAGCTGGACTTGCTTTAGGTTTCTCCAGTTCAAAGCAGCCTTTTGGGTGCAAGTCGAGTATCTTCAGGAATTTAATGCATCTGCCTGCCTTTGGTTTAACACTTCTACCTGGATAAGTCTCCACAGACATTGCAGTAAGTATATGCTCATTTACCATTATTTTTCCTACACAAGGAAGGGTGTGCTACAGAGTGCCATCTCTTATCATCCTATAATACAGTACCTCACCCTCTTGCACACAAAGGCTAGTGTGTATATGGATACTGTATTCAATACTGACTTGTGCCACTTAAAACATGGATCTGTCCATCAACAGCTGGTGTCAAAGTGCCTCTGGGCCAGCATTAAACTCTAAACTCCTCCAGTAGAGGAGTGTTGTGTCGCTGTGCACCTTCTAGATGTAAGAGTGTAAAATGTGAAGCTAAGTGTTACAGGAAAACAATGGTTAAAGATTGATGGCAAAAAATTCCACTGATATCTACTTCTGTCAGATGGACTGTAGTGGCCAGTCCCACTTTGTAAACAGAGCAGCAGGCCGGATCCAAATAAAGCACGAAGGAACTATGGTGCTGTACTGCAGCTGGAGAGTGAGTTACTCAAGCGTCACTGCTGAAGTCAGCTGTTGACATGGCCTGTTTGAAGCCACTCCAAATGAACCTTATAAAGTTTACTATAATCTAGCCACAAGAAGACAATTAAATAAGCCCCAAGGTTTATAAAAGGATACAGCAGATGGTGACAATGGTTTGAATCACAGTGGAGGTGATGCGTAATGGGTAGAGAACCTTTTCATATCCTGTCAGCACACACTTCCTGGTCAGCGCAGTGAGCAGGACAGTGTAGAAGCAGATGCACATGAAGCTGATGGCAGCTCCGAGGTAGTGAAGGAGTGACAGGTGATATGGCTGTGGAAGATAGTTAGCAGTTTCCAGGGTCAATACATGAAGAGATGGTTGAAATCAGGACAGATATTGTTATATAGATTGTTATATATATGGATGTGTATTATCTTTACTACTGAATTTTTAACTGATCAAAACCTTAATGACCTCCTGGAGTTGGGGTAAAATAAAAATAACTGTCACCTGACATTAATTGGAGAGACTTCCTAAGCATTCATGCAAATGTCCCCAGTTATATGAGGGGAAAAACATTTGCTTTGTTTAAATTTTGTAGCAACTGGTTCCCATTCATTTTACTCACTGGTTTTGTGGTCTGGTAATATCAAAATGTATCATTCAAAAAACAGCTTCTTGACTGGTAGTTCTGCTTTGTTGTTAACATTACATGATGAAGACAAAGCTCACTGTTTTCTCTCTCAGATTCATTTCTCACAGTTATACAGTATGTGCCCTGGGCATTGTGAATCTGAAGCAGCAATTTAATGATGTAAAGTAAACCTATTCAAACACACACAGCAGGAAGTCCGGTACTTACATTGCAGTTTCCTGCTGCGAAAGCCCCAAGGGCTGCCACCACACCAAAGACCAGTGCAAACTTGCTCAGCATGGCATGACATGCATGTCTCTCCATCACATGGCCATGGTGGAGTATACAGAACAGCAGAACTAAAGAGGAGATCATAGTTGGTAAAACACATGTCACTCACATTATGTACAGTATATGTTGCAGTACATGTGTTAGGCCTGAAGCAGGTAAACTCACACAGAAAGGATCCGGCGTTGATTGTTGCAGTAAAAAGTGAATTTTCTGGTGCAAAGCTTCCACTGGAGCTGGAATCACATAATTTGTTCAGTTAACGATGCCTCAGTATTTAATTCCAGTGGAAAGGATAAGCAAAAGATTAACTTTAGTAAACTGTATTTTTACCTTATGGTGGGAACATAGCAACATCCAGAGGAAGAATTCCATTGGCAGTAGTTCCCAACTCCCCTAAGAACAAATTAATTAAGTTCTGGGGAATCTGTCACATCCAGGTGTTGATGATTACATTTTTTAATAGTGACACACAACTTACCAGTCACTGAGGGAGCACACATGATTGTTGGAGAGGGCTAGGCCATATCTGGATATATATAAAACAAAATAATTACTGTAACACAATTTCAATAATATTAAATTTGTGACATCATTGATTTGATCATTGAACATTCAAATTACAGTATTGTATTCTTTGTATCATTGACAAATTGTAATATAGAATCAAAAAAGCATTATCTTCCACTTTTTCAGAATAAAAGTCGATCATTAACAGCACATTCCTGTTGACTGCATCAATGTATGATTTATGATGTCTGAGAAGTTAAATAAATATTTTCCAACTCTATAAAACCTATGGCAGCAATAAATGATCATAGGTAGATGAGAACACAACTGTCCAATGGTTTTATTGTACCACTAACATTGTTTTTAACATTTTTGGTGTCCAATGATCACTATACAACTCATGCTGATTGATCAATAAACCACCACAAATATTTCTGAAATTGAAAAGAGGGAACACCTGACGGCAGTCTGAAGAATGAGCTCTTGCAACTGGCAAAAAGTTACACTGAGTAACTTCAACATTCATTTATATATACAGTATAATTAAACAGTGTCATGTATGTCAATATAAGAAGTCGAAGACTAAATGGAAACTGAATGGCAAAGCAAAAATTAGCCAAAAGAATCACTGCATGGATAAGTCACTGATGTCTAACAGAGCTTTGATTGAAGAAGCGATTAATCCAAACAATATTGTGTTTTGGCATTTCTTGACTGTCTGGTGTACACACCTTGCAACAGACAAAACTAGTCGGATCACATATTTCAAATGTTTTTTTTACATTGAATGTCAAATGTTGACAGCAGGGAATTTTTCTTGTGCTTATAAAATTTATATGCTCCTCTGAAGTGGATTTTCCCACACTTTTCACAGACAGCACATGTAGATCTAAAACATGATAATAAAAGCATGTGAAAAGCAAACGACAAATCTTGATAATTAATCATGGAGTAGTCCAGATGCATTGCTGTCAACAGTGCCTGGCAGGAGTCACATAATCATGAAACCTTACAAACAGCTTAAAGATGCGAATAATACTTATGAACAGATGTGTTAACTGGCTAATATATGAAGTTCAATAGGTCTAGAATTAATGTAAACTTGGCATCAGCATGACAACACATAGGAGACACAGAATAAAAGTTGTACTTGTGAAAACAAAAGTTCTAATATTTTCTACAGGTTGTGAAAACAAATGAGAAAGTATGATTTTCTGGTTAACTTACACAGTCCATGTTCCAATGAAGGACACCAGGGCCAGGGTGATGGGAAAGAAAATCCAGAACACCATGTCGAGGAAGACAAACAACAAATTAAAATGGGTTTTTCCTGGTGCCTTTTCACTCACTCACAGTAGATCTCTTCAGGTGTTCATAGAGTCCTCATGGAGTCAGCCTCATACCAACATAGCAAGATTAATATTAGAACTAAAAATAAAACCCTGTATAATATATGATGTATGTATAGTTCAGGTTCAGGTTCTTCAGACAAATGTGCTCCTGTTGGTGGTTATAACCTTCCACCATTCAGAGTACAGCCCCCTTATGGGAGAGTCTCTCTTTCTCTGCCACTCCTTAGGAGCACCACCTTGCTCTGTCAAAGCACATGTTGGGAAACATGGGGTTGGCCTTCTTAAAGCTGAGCGATATTGTTTTTTTCATTTCAAACAGACTCATCTTAAGACAGATACTGCACCGTTTTACTACCAGGAAGCTCTGTATTTGAAATATGAACTCTTTCAGATGTGTGTGTTTGTGTGCACAGACATTGGTTTAAAGAGTTTTTTTTTAGACAAAACAGTAGTTCTGTTAGTTCTATAATCACAGTTACATAAGAAATGCTTTGAATGTTTTGAGAAACATACTTTGTTGGTGGAAAGTAAGTACATTCATACCAGAGTTAATTGTATTTTACTTGAGTATTTCTATTTTATGCTGGGTTATATTTCTGAAATAATAATAATTTATTATTATTATAAGATACCTGGGAACAAATTCACAAGCCACCCAGCCCTGTATAAAGTAATTTAAATTACTCCCACCTTTACCAACTGCAATAATAAAATGAGGTTCATGAATTATAAACCAATAATACAATACAATATACAATATTCTGCAATGGGCCATTCTGCACAATGCATACTTTTACTAGTGGTACTTAAAGTATAGGTTGGTGTTAGTACTTTTGTACTTTTAATAAAGTAAAATTATGAATTCATGACTTTTACTTGTCACAGGGTATTTCTACACTGTGGTATACTTAAGTAGCTCTGGGTACTTCATCTGCCACCATAAGTAACCCATGTATTTATGTAATAGATTTATCACCAAAAATCTGTTTCTGAGCAGAAGTTATTATTTTCTTTGTCTACATTTCTTTTTGTATATATTTCTTTTGAGGAGCTTTTATTTTATTAATTGTATTCTTGTTGTGTGACCTTTGACATTTTGGCCTGTCACTTTCGTCAGGCTCCGGTGATGAGAGGTGTGCATGTAGAAACCTGGTCATGAGAAGTTGCTGTACTGATTGTATTACACACAGAGTGTTGGGAGAATAAGCCAAGAATGTGCCAAAACAACAGCTGTCCTAGTTTCATCTTTTATTATTCACCAATACAACACAGAGTTTTTGGCATTTTTTTTATTTTTTTATACTATGTTTACACAAGGAGCGCTGGGATAATAAATCCCACACTGGCTGGTAAGGCAACAGCTGTCCTCATTTTATCTTTTATTATTCACCAACACAGAGCAGTTTGTGGCAAGATGGAGTGCCAGACTAGGCCAGCTCCACATGCATCAGTTAAGAGAATAAAAAAAAAAGAAAAGCCAATAAGGCACTCTGTTAATGACAACACAATAATGAACTATTTTAGTTTATTATAGTTTTACTTATTTTTCCGTAATATAATTGATAAATTAGTGTTTCAGCGAAAAGTTAAATAAAGGTCAGTATCAGAGTCAGATGAGGATGTGATCAGGATGATTTTCTATCGACCACACGGGGTCCTCATTTTCAAAACAAACAAAATGGCGGCACACTTGAGATGGGGTCTTCACCAGTTGTTACGAGCAAGAAATACGGCTCACTTTAGGTTTGAACTTCTACATCTGTCACGTATTATTTTGTCCTGCTGATATGACAAGTTTTAATGCTTGTGTTAGTTATAAACTTGGCGTGCCGGCGTGTGGTTGAGATGATGCTTATAGCTAGCTTATCAGCTAACAAGCAAACTGCGACACTAGGCAACGGTTTGTCACTAATCCCATCCATCCGTGTACAGGAGGATATATATCGATACGGCTAGTTTAGTTTAGCTGTTTCCACCTTTTATCGTCTTCGATTTCGTATGTGTGGTTCTCCTAATCCCATGTATATCTGTTAGCCGCTAGCGTTAGCCAGCTGTAAGCTTCATTGTCAATAAAATGATTAAACGTCTGGTTAGTCAGTAGGTGTGTATATACGTCAAAACCCTGAGCTGACAAACATTTGCTTTCATCCATCAACACGACATTACTATTTAATCCTGACTTACGAGTTGAAGTCCTGTTTTCACTGACAGACATTGTGCAATACTCTTTACGTTGTAAGGTTTCCAGACAAGACCAGGAGCTCCTACCACTCACAGTGCACGACCCAGAGCTCCAGAAAAGTTCAGACTCAGCTTGGGAGAGGAACCACACACTTCTCAAGTGAGAAACCATTGTTTGGGCTTAAACACTTATTTGGTTATCAGAATTGCTGCCATTAAATTGACTAAAAACGGTCAACTAATTGAATGACTGTCTAATATTTTCAACTGTAGAGTGCTACCTGGTTTTCTGGGTACCTGGGTAAATAATGAAACTGTCATGTATAGTGGTGGTCAATAGGTGACCAATATGAGGTTAATCAGACCATGACCATAATAAATTCACTCACCTCTGTCAGCTCGTCTTTCAATGATACTGCTATGTAGAAAATAAAAAAAACAACATAGAACTTTACTAAGAAATTATTTTCATGATATCTTTCAGTAAGACACCTGTCCATCCAGACTCAAGACACTCCAAACCCCAGAAGCTTGAAGTTTCTCCCTGGTAAACCTGTCCTAGGAAGTGGGACAATTGACTTTCCCTCTCCAAGCTCAGCTGAATGTTCATCTTTAGCCAGGTTGGGTGACAAGTTTACTGCACTTTGTCGTATTTACGTACAACTGTTTCTAATTTGACAAAATAGACATTTTAAAAGGAGGGTTACACCCTGTTTCCAGTCCCTGTGAGGCAGGAATCACTATTACAGATTTGGACTCAACACCAGGACAAGAAATATGTGTGTATTTTACACATTAATTGCATGTGCCATGTTAGAAATCTTAGTGTAAAAAAAAAAAAACTGAGGTAAAAGGCACACTCCTTTCACCTAGGCACATATTCACATTCATAACTCCATTTATTTGAACTTATGAAGATCCATGTTTCCGACAGATTCAATTTTTTTTTTAGATAAATACTTCACAATTACAGTGTGCAGCTCTCTAATTCCCTTTTATTCAACAATAGTTAGACAATGGATATTATCTTCATTGAGCTATTCATGGTTGTGTCTTCAGGTTCTGAAAGTGATGAGGTTGCTTGGTTGAAGAGTACATACAGGAGATGTGATGAATGTACACTTTGACATTTACACTGCATGATACTTTTTCAGATACTTTTTGTCTTGTCACGACTACACTGAAAACATTTTAAAACAGTGCAATCATTAGGGATAAAAGACAGCACAAGTGGATGTTGTTATCACTAAATGAACTCAAATGAACGCAGACTTCACACTGTCATGGTATGTTTTCAATTTTTGTTGAACAATAACATGATAAGGTGTTTGTTCCAGGGTCTTGTTTGAAATCGAAGGAGTAAAAAGTGTGTTCTTTGGACCTGACTTCATCACAGTCACTAAAGTAAGTACTAAATGTACATTTGTACCTCGTCACTTTGATTTTTATTGCTTTGAAATTTTTGTGGAGAGATAAAACATGCATGAGATCTTTGGTGTCCCGTCAGACAGATGAAGATGTGGAATGGACAGACATAAAGCGCCATGCTTTGGACGCCATTGCTAAGTTCTTTGAGAGTGGTGACCCGATAACAACAGGGGCAGTTCACAATGAAAGCAGTGAGTATACAACATGGCCATTTTGACCATCCAGAAGTTATGCAGCTGCTTCATTGTATATCGTGACGTGCAAATCTCCACACTGTACATTTTCTGTATTGTAGGTCTCTCTGAAGATGATGATGATATTGTATCCATGATAAAGGAGCTTCTGGACACAAGAATCAGGTACAAAACTAATAACTTTGAGAACAGTGTATGTAATAATTTTATTCTATGTTTGTCTGTTCCAAATGGAAAGCTCATTGTTTGATAGTTCATGTGTTTTAGTTATTATTTCAGTCCTAATCAAATATTTCCTCTATCATATTGCTCTACTCAGCACTCATTGAAGTGATGTTAATTGTACTGTACTGCGATAACACTCTTAATCTGTCTGTGCTTTTTGTTGTTTTGTTCTGTACAACATGATATGGTTTCTCTCACTTAACAAGGCCTACAGTGCAGGAGGACGGAGGTGATGTAATTTATAAGGGTTTTGAGGACGGTACAGTCAAGCTGAAGCTGGTCGGTTCCTGCACAGGGTGTCCTAGCTCTACAGTCACCCTGAGGAATGGGATTCAGAACATGCTGCAGTTTTATATCCCAGAAGTAGACAATGTGGAACAGGTGATTATCAAGATCTATTGTGCAATGTGAGACAGGCTGTATAGTTTTTGAGTTGGAGCTGATTAGTTTTTGTAGCTCAGCAGAGATTGGTGTAGATTTCTGTTTTGAAATCAGGCTTCACTGTCTCAAGCTGGGATTGGTTCCAGAAGTTAGCATGTGGATATTTAAATAAGCATATACAGGATCTCGTTTTAATTTTTAGTTTTGGACCATCAAGGCTGAGCAATCAAACCCAACAGGAATTTTTCAATCTGTGGGTGCAGTTTTCCAGCTTTAGTGACTGGAGTTGAGGAAAATGATGAAAGAAAAGATGATTTACTTACTTGCTAATTTACTGAGTTGGGTTTTTGTCATGCATACTAGAATATAGTATAGAATGTAATAGTCTTTCCAGACTTTTATGTCACATTTAACATTTTGTCAAATGTCTTTGTTTGCCCAGGTGGAAGATGAAGTGGATGAAGTCAATGCAAAGGTTTTCTCAGAGCTGGAACGTAAATTACAAGAATAAAAACTTCCTCGACCAACACACTCATGAACTTTGTTAGAAGAAACATGTTTCACTGTGTAAAAACACAGCCGTGCATTGCTTCCACTAATTTTCATTATAAGAGAGAATGAAGAGACAAATTATTTCCTGCTATTTTGTGTGCATATACTGTTTAGAGTTCAAACTGTAATTTACTGTATGCCCCTGTTACCAAGGAAAGAAGATATGCTGTATACCTGTATGCAGAAGATGCAGTCATTTTTGTATCCAAACAAAAATGGACTGCTGTGATCGGTGTAAATGTTTTGTTGTATTTATTTCTTAAAGATACTGTATATTTTGAAATAATATTTTCATAGGATGGAGAGTTTTTGGTTCTGGTCATTCAGAATGGAGATTTGATAAGGTGTTACAGTTGTTCTCATCATATTCTAAAGGAAAGAGAACTTAAGAGTTTTTTTCTTGTTAATGCATTACCAATAATTGAAATAAAGTGTTATCAAGTCTGCAGTTATTCATCATGCAGAAGTAAGTTTTGCATCCTAAAAGATCTGTATGCTATTTATGTGCTTTGTGCTCCACTCACAAGATTTACTGTATCACATTAAACAAAGTTAACAGTATGAAAGCAAATATTTGTTGTTGATTCCCTTTTTATATCATTGTTGCTATTGTTATTTTCTTGCAGGTGTGACTTGTATCATTATGTTCTATGTGGGTAGAGAAAAATACAATGAATTAGTACTCATAGGTACAGGAAGATTCAGAAAAAGCTTTATTGTCCAAGTATGTTTATGCCTAGAAGATATACTCTGGTTCCTCTGTAAATACATACATACACGAATATACATTCTGCCAGAATTTTCCTTCATGAAGGTTTCAATGTGCAGTTTTTGTTGTAACTGTTAAAGAGGTGTTGATTCAACTGCATGATTATTTTGGTGGATTTAGTCTGTGGTGCTGTTGCCCTGCATTGCATTCTGTTGACATGTGGTCCTATTGTTTTTTCCACCCCATTCAAATCAATGAAGGCAGGCTGAAAAACAGACACACCGTTGTAAAAAGCAATACAGATCAACAGCACCACAAGTTGAAGCCTCTAAAATGATCATACAGTTGATTTAGCACCTCTTAAACACAGTGTCAACAAAAACAGCAAAAACATAACCTTCATGAAGGGATGATTCAGTGAAGCACTGTTGTATTACACTCCATTAATTTTAGTTAGGCTGGAATAAATATTGTATGTATGAATTTACTTAATATACATACTAGAGGCGGTTTATGTACAGTATATGCATGTTTACAGGATACAGGGCAATACACAGCCTGCTTAGTTTTATATTTAAATATAAGTTGTAGGCAAAGGACACAAAGTCTTAATCTTCTTTCACTCCTGTTTTGGAGGTACGGGCACACAGGGACAGTTTATTTGACAGGTTAGACAGATAAACCAATATATTCTAATCATCTACGCCTTGAGCATGGGCCGGCTCTGCATCTTGCGCATGCGCAGAGTGTGTGTACATCGGCCGGTGCAGGGGACAGCGGTAAGCTGTGTTGATAATGTTTTGATCAAAATCGTTCTACGTTGGTTAAAGTGAAAATTGAATGTACATTTAAAGTGCAATTATCATTTGCATGCAGGAGACTTGCTACCACTAGTGACAGTTTGTTTTATGCGTTTAAAACATTCAGGGCTAACTGGCAGCCAACGTTAATTTGGGCCTCGCTCTCGATAATAAATCCAGCACGAGGCTAATCTGGCAACAAAGCTAACGACGTGCAGATGCTAACTTTTAGCTAGCTGTGTATATAGCACCTGTGTGTTACAGCAGCCATGCTGTGCTTTAACGCGACTGTAGTTAAACAAGACACGTCTTAACAGTGTTGACGAAGACCCAATAACGTAGCTTAAAAGAATGTTTGTCAGTCGCTGTTAACCACAACAATAACAGCATTAGCTAGCGTTAGCCTACTGTCAATTGAAGTGGCTAACGTTAGCCAGCCTGCTGTGTCAGCGGTTATCTCACTAATCTACGGAGGACTGCAGAAATTAAGGGTATTATGTCCTGATACTTCGTGTGTACAAATGAAACATTTGTTCTTCCCAAGTACTATCTCGTTCCCTTAAATGGCTCAGTTATTTTAGTTCCTCTTGTTAGGCTAATGTCGTTGAGTTATTGTAAGATAACGGTAGGAGCTAGCTAAAGTTAAAGGTTGTTGTGGTTTTTCCAGTCAGTGTTAACAACATGCTAGCCGTGTGGCAGTAAAATACATTTCTTTTACTAAAGTGCATAAATTCTTCTAAATATAAATTCTTTAAAATCAGGGGGTAGCTGTCGCATTCATAACATAATGTTGTGTCCTTTCCCCTTGGTACTGCCTCGTACAGTTTTAATGCTGACTTGGATGTTGGTCTTTGTTTATTCAGTGATGGCTATCTTTGGCTGCAAAGGCATACACGTCTCTCTGTGCACCTTTGCATTGTCAAGTAGACAGTGACAGGTTAAGGCAAAAAAAGGGATTGCTAGGGATTCATCGAATTTGATACCCCAAACCTTCTCTATGTCATAATATAACGTTTTTGTTATGTTGATTTAGGTGCACAAATGATCAAAATTCTCTGACCCTTGATATCTGGTGGTCTTCCTTAAAATATACCTCATTTTATGATTTGTTTTGTTTTTAGTAACAAGCATTGGTCTGGTGAATAGAGACTGCTCTCAATTTACATGAGTCATGGCCCAGTTTGGGGGACAGAAGAATCCGCCCTGGGCGACTCAGTTTGCCACCACAGCGGTGTCCCAGCCGGGTCACTCAGGACAGTCTCTTGACCTCAACAGCCTGCACTGTAAGTATACCAGACCAGAGGGTCTGGGCTATTTCATTTACTTTTTTACCAGGCACACATTACACTCATAAAGACTCTTTTGGTTAGAAGGACTTAATCTCACTGACTCTTACACCTGCCACCATATTCCCCCCATGTTATTTTACACAATTGTTCCCAATTTCTCCACACTTCTCTGAATTTCATGCCTTATTTTCCTTCTCTGCAGCTCTGGGTGTGCAGCAGCCATCTATTCTGGGAGCATCTCCCTCTGTTTACTCTCAGCAGTCAGCCTTAGCTGCAGCCTCTCTCAGCAACCAGTCTGCTGCGAACTATCAGCTGTCTCAGCAAACTGCTGCCTTGCAGCAGCAAGCTGCAGCAGCTGCTGCAGCAGCACTACAACAGGTCAGTCACAGTAAAGTACTCAGCAGCATGGTCAGCAATCTATGCATCTTGGCATAGTCACATCTAACACTGTTTGATCATCTATGATCTCTTCCATGTTCTTTTTAATGTCTATAGTCTCAGATCAATACAGCTCTCCAGCAGTATCAGCAGCAGCAGCAACAACAGCAGCAACAACAGCAACAGCAGCAACCTCCCCAGCAACCCCCTCAACAGCAACTGTACAATGTACCTCATCAGGTGAGACATAGGCTCATTTTGCTTTGTGTCACACTCTTGATTTATTTGGAAACCATTATTTAGATTTCTATGGTGGCTTTGTATTGTGATGTGTCAGCAAAATACAAGATTAAAGTGTTGTTGGGAAAATGAGCACAAGTGAGCTCATACAGCACTAGATTCAAAATTCCCCAAGCGTTGATTTGCCTGTTGATAATGTCCGTTTGCAGGCTTTTAAATTGAGATTAAATTCACTGCTGAAATCATCATTATCAAGTTTTCCCTGTCCTTTTTAGTGTTACATATTTTTTGAATAACTAAGCAGTTTTCTCTTGCAGCAAAAATTTGAAAGTAAAATGCTGTGTAAATGTAATTTGATACAACTACTCAAGTGACAGTATATTTTTTTATGCAGCACTAAAAAGATCTTGTTTCAACCAGCAAAATCCATTAGTGAACACACAACAGTGGTCTGTAAGGGACAGTCAGAACAGCACAAGGTGGGGTGCTGTAATGTGGGCAAATCTGTTGTATCAAGTCAACAAAATATTTACTGTTGGTATTTTCTGTTTTCCTTTTTTCTTCACAGCTCCCACAGCCTCAACAGGCACTGCTTTCTCAGGTAATGTGCAAAAACACACATCTATTTGCTACATTCTGTGTATTGTTTGTCTTTTCAAAGATGCCAACTCAGGCTTGCAGTTGGGGTTGAATTAACTGCATTACTCAGTGAGCTCATATGTATCTTTCTTCTCTGCATATCCATTTATATGCGTGCCTTATGTTCAGTCACAAGAGGATGAAGTCTATCCCAGCATGCCTTGAGCAAGAGGGAGGGTTATACCAGTTTTGTTAATGCTTTTGTATTTTGTTTATTTTTAGGAATAAGACCAAGATTTTGATTTGCCATCAGAAAGTCTTCTTTTGCATTCTTGCAGAGTGACTATGGTATTGAGCGACTGGGTTTAGACATGCAGCCAAAGTGTGTTCAGAATGGCAGTTTTTTAAATTCTTCTCTCTATTCCTTACCCTCAGCCCCCTGTCGCTCTGCCCACCAGCTTGAGCCTCTCCAATCCCCAGCAGACAGCCCAGATTACTGTGTCCTACCCAACACCACGTTCAAGTCACCAACAGCAGACACAGCCACAAAAGCAGCGAGTCTTCACTGGTGTTGTCAACAAGCTACATGACACATTTGGCTTTGTAGATGAAGATGTCTTCTTTCAGCTAAGGTGAAATAGATTATGTCCCTTGGCATCTCTCAGACTGTATATCTTGTGGAAATGATTTTGTAGTTGGAATGACAAGTTAAATGCTCAGTGTCATTGGCTATAAATTTTTCACTGTATGCATTACACTGATACTGTCTTTTTCATATGCCAGTGTTACCCAGCCCAAGTCATTTCCCAAGCCATTATTTGGCAGTGTTATTTGTATACAGGCAGCTTTTTCAATTTGAAACTGATGTGACCTGAAATATAGAGATGTCCATTGATGTGTAAATGCTTTTTTATAATATATTTTTTCAGTGCTGTAAAGGGGAAGACCCCCCAGGTGGGTGACAGGGTCCTAGTGGAAGCCGTGTACAACCCAAATATGCCCTTCAAGTGGAACGCCCAACGCATCCAGACCTTACCTCAGCTAGCAAACCAGTCGGTGAGAACACTCAGATTTTTCACAAATTTGCTCAAGATTAACATTGTTTTGTACATTAATACAACTTGGGGGTTTTTGCTTAAATTATTGCTGACTATTTGATTTTTGGTATCATTATGACTGCAGTCAGCGCAGCATTAGTGTTTTTACTTCACTGTGTTAAAGTTGCCCTGTCTGCTACAAAAATGGAAAAACACACTTGTCTTTCAATGATTTAATTCATCCATAGTTACTATGTAGTTGCATCTACATGATGATTTGAGTCCCACTGATACTAGGTCAGACAAAATGTGACCTAAAAATGTCCCCCAATTTAGTACTTCAAAAAGACAGGAAGTGTCTTCTAATCTGAAAATATCTGTTCTTTATGTTTGTCTGTTTGTGTCAGTTAATTTTAGCCTTTGGCTTTACTGATCTGACTAAACATTGGAACATTTCTTGACTTGCCTCTGTGACAGAGGCTAAATGGTGAAAATGATAACATATCTATTTGAATTGTGAATATTCAAAAATGGAATTC